GTTATAATTATTCCATACTTAAGAATTATTCACCTGTATCGAGTTCAGAATTCTCTTTACAAAAGCTGACAACTAGATTTTATGGGAAATTCCTTCTTACCCTTGTTGTTTTCACTTTATTCCCAGATGAACAGCTCCATCCTTTTCGATCTGGGAGGACCTTGCATTCCTCCCCTTCAAGACATGGTTGCATATGGCACCACCATTTTTGTTCTACAATTGAGGCTAAAGAAGAGGAAGAGAAAAGCCTATTGTTTTTAATGAAATCTTTTTTACCCTTATATCACAGAAATATTATCAGGGTGAATATACAGTATTCATTGGTGAGAAATATTAATACTGTACTGAGGTACTGTTAAATTATTTATATGCTATAGAAGGGATGGACATTGGACTAAAATAGTATTTTATCTGATCCAACATACTTTTTTTAAGTTTATAAGACATATGTGTGCATTGTATGAGTAAATTATTCGTGGCTGGAGTTGCTGCACCTTCTGATGTCTGCTATTTGCATCGGGAGAAAAGAAAAGGTAGTCTGATGTGTGAATAAACAAAATAAACGTAATACAGTTTTCTAGTATAAAGGCTATATAGCCATTCTTTTTCATAAGGGCTTTATTTCATTGTCAGACTTCATAATTCATTTTAAAATCTCTAGTTACTTTTCATTTTAAGTACTTTCACCATACTCCCAAGCCACAAATAATTTACTCATACAGTATATATATTGTTCAATGATTGTTTTCATTTAAAACAATCAATCTTAGGAGAGCTACAACTCAGAAAGAAAGAACAAAGCACCAAATATCGCACCATCAACACAAGAAGGAGCTGCTTGAGTGGTACCTGCTACCTGCCCAGGAAAGCAGGAGCACTTGACTGTCTGTGATCTTTCTTCTATTTTGTTCTTATTACAACATCGGTGGAGAGCCACCACTTCACAAGTTCCAGTTTTAACATGATGAGCTGTAAAAAGAAGATGTTGAGAGAAATAACGATTCAACATAATTAAGGAGAACACACAAACTGGAAGTTACCTACACTGCAAATTTTATTAGAAATACTAATGAATGGGTCTTTTTCTTTTCCCTAAACTGCAACACTGATAATTCTTTAGGGCTCAAAACAGGAAAGGAAGGGTGTTCATTTGACATATGACACTGGGTGGCAAACACATTAAAATTAGCAACAAAACACCATCAAGAAACCAAATGACATCAGTTTTCTATTTAGCTATCTTCAAGCTAGACAGAGATATTGCTCATCTGAAATATGTAGAATGTTACACAAGAAACCTTCTATTTTAATGTCTGTAAAAATACAGTAATTACCTAATTAATACATCTATCTAAAACCTATTGCTTAAAGCCCATTATTCTTCAAACTTGTGGGATTAGTTCTGAGCACATCAGTTAAGCACCTCTGCATTTATCCAGTCCTCTCCATCATTACCAGTTTCCCATTTTTTTCCCTCTCTCTCAGATAATCAGTGAATATTTTATGGTCCATTGGTTTCCTCTATCATCTTTGTCGTCTTCTTTGGAATTCCTCTGTGCATATCAGTATCTTTTTAATTTTCTCACTGGTCTCAAAAATTTGATGGAAATGCACTTACTACTGACCAGCTGGGTTCTGGGTTTTCTATTAATGTATGTAATTATCTCTGAAGGCAGAATAACTAATATGATGCTGATTGGTTTATCATTAGTAAGTTACAACTTTACTGCAACAAAGGTTCAAGAATGTGGTGGCATATATGTAACCCTTTAAGACAAACAGATTGCAATAGTTTAGAAACATTCAATTTCTCAACAAATGTTTATTGCAAAATAAAAATAATGTAGTCTTTCTTCAGATTTTTAGGTCTTTCTTTTACCAAAAGAAAAAATAAATAAAATCCAGACTATGCGACTAACGAAGAAATTCAGAAAATTCTGAATGTTAATTAATAAAGACTCATTATTCTTGATAATTTCCATCTGGTAGCCTTATCTTGAAATGGAAGGTTTAAATGCAGCAACTGATACATAGCAGAATTTCTTAAGAATAATGGATATAAACCATGGGCAAAGTAGGCAATCTATGAAATGACATGGAAGAGTTCAAGATTTTCTGTTTTTTGATGGGAGCGTTGTCCTGGTTATTAAGATTATACAAGCACACATACATATTTATTACTTAAAATGCCATGCTAAACTTACATGATGGTCCCATACTATATCTTATGCATGCTCCCACTTCAAAATACCAGGAAAAGTTCAAATATGGCTTTTGAGGGCTGCTTTTTTTGCCTCTTTGAGCTTAGACCAGTGGTGGCGAACCTTTTAGAGACCGAGTGCCCAAACTGCAACCCGAAACCCACTTATGCATCGCCGAGTGCCAGGCAGGTGTGGCCACCAAGTGGGCGTGGCCACCGAGTGGGCATGGCTATAGTAGTCATGGCAGTGTGGGTGGGCCTGGCCAGGGTGGGCATGGCCACCTTGATGTTGCTCCTGAGGAGGGATGCCTGTGGGAGCCGGGCAGGGTTAGGGGAGATCCAGAGGGTCTCTGTGGGTGGGGCAGTGGGCAGGAGGCTCATCATCTTGTTTTGTCAATGAGCCAATCAGATCACAGTAGGAGTCAGTTATTGATGTCATGTATTGAAATTGAGAGGAGGACATTTGTCAGTGTGTTATGTGATCGCTATCAAGTTGGTTGGGTTTTTTGTGTTCTTTCTTTTAGTGAGCTTGTAAAACGTAATAAAATTAAAATAATGGTGCAAAGAGTTGACTGGTTGCCCAGAAAGCGATGTAAAACAGAATTATTAAGTGAA